AGATCAAAGTTATTAAAAGGGCATTTTAATACCTATTCGTCCTTGTAAACCAAAAAAACAATATTATTTTTAAATTTTACAGATTTTTCTATCTCATTTGGTAACAATATTGTAATTCTACATCGCACTGATTTTTTTAAATAATTTTTTTAAAATTTCGAAGTCCTTTGAAAATATTCTTGACATCAGAGTGAAAAACTAAAAACACAGTTTTACTACATATGGCCCATAGTTTCGTTAGTATATTTTGTTTTTGTCGCACGGTGTAATATATCAATCACCGAACGACCTTCCCAATTTGCGTTTTATGGAGTTTCTTGAAGTAAGGGTCAAAACGACCCTTTTAGGCGGGAGCTAATGGGCTAAAATGCTCTTCGAAAATATTTCCCATGAAATTCTACTATTTATGTGTATCTTAACCTTCAATTTCGCTCAGAAATTTATTTGAGTCATTTTTCCACTTTTTTGAAAACTACTTAGGCCGGGGCATGAAAACTTTAGTAGGCCATAAGATAAAAATAGTAGCTAACTGTTGCAAATCCATTGGGGATTTTACTACTAGATTGGTATACTTTTAGAAAATCTTAACAAAGTCCGGGCTGTTTTAGGCTGTCGCATTAAGATTCGACTGTAAATGCTGAAATACTTTTGGTTTTGGTTCGGCCTAATGTACATACATATGTGCATCTACGTGCCATGTATGTATGTACTCATGTCCATTGGTTTACATATGTTTTTTTGCGCACTGAATAGTAAATATTGCAATTGTTTGATAGTCACACAAAAAGTTTAGAGAAAAAATTAATAAAAAGGTATTTGTTGTAAATGGTAAATTGGTGAAAATTGAAACTGGGTTAGTAAAACTTTAAATACTACAAAGCGTCTGTTAGGCGCTGGAGCGTATTGTACTTATGATTAGGAGTGCACATATGTACATACATATCTTTACATATGTACATACATATGTTTGATCTATTTACTCTTTCGAGTCTATTGATAGGTGATTATTGTATTTCTTTTTTTGTAGTTTGTAAACTCATGAGCACAATAGCTTTTATTTTCATTGAATTAAAGTAGCTTTTTATTTCTTTCGTACATTACACTTCCTTTTGTTTGTTTTTGTTTTTGGGTTTGCTATTCCGCCAAGCATTATACGGCTCATTTGAAATTTCAGCTTTAAAAACGAAGTTTTGTATGAGTAAAGTATAAGTAAGTTGTTAGTTTACAAAATTTGTATTCAATTCGATCTCTTGAAATCTTTTATGTAAAGCGAAATTCATTTTACTTTCATCCGCATCAAATTTAAATTTGTATTAAATATTTCTTCATCATGCCAAACAAAAGTTTTATTCATAACGAGTTACAACAAATAAATACATACATACATATTTGCGTGTTCAAAACACAATACATCTTGTATGAAAAAGTGTTTGAAGCACTGAAAGTCTTCAAGCTCAGCAATGTATTTCTTCAGAGGCTATGGCATCACTGGTATTTACAGATCTCCTTCAAACTAATTGGGTTCCGAGGTAGTAAGTATCTAGTAACGTGTTATCTGACTATTTGGCTAAAAGGGGCTCAGTCCGGGTATTCCTTTATCCGCAACTAGTTAGAGTACTCGGAAGTTCGATTGGAAGCCACCATCAGAAATTAGATGAGCATTTCACTCATAATAAAGCTGCAAGGTCAGATGAGAGTACATACATACATACAGTGACTCAAACAAATGACCACGTGTTGTTTTTTTTTTAATATTCGTAATATTTTTCCAGCAAAATTTTTTCCTTATTTTTGTATAAAAATATGGTCTAAGCTTTAAACAAAACCGTGTAATTCACCATTTCAAACTTTATACAAAATTTAGGAAAATTCAACAAATTTTCGCCAACATTTAAACTTTTTATTTTGCATTTTTTGAAAATTTTTGGGTATCCAGTTTCATAGCCCATACGAATTTAAATAGTCTAATGAAGTGCAAGTTTCAAACGGGTTAAATAATCAAATCTAAAAATTCAGAAAAAAAAGTTGAAACAAGGGCGACCGCTGTTAAATAAAAACAAAAAAAAAACCTTTTTCTTTTATTTTTTTTTGTATCTTGCTTTGACCAGTGATCGAACGTTGTTTCTGAGGGGTCACTCGGCTACAGTGTAAGAGGACTATAGGCAAAAATGGAATAGAAAAACGAAATTTTGTTTTAATTTCGTAAAGATGGTCCCCTTAAACTAGAAAAAGTTTCGAAAACCTAAAAAAAAATTCTACGAAAAATTATTTACATATTTAACACATATTTAAAAAGTTAACTAGTCATCACCAAATGACCATCAAAATCCCATTGAATGAATGTGCTGAACATTCTAAGGCAATAAAGAGGTGTTACAGTTTAAACAAATGTCTGTCATTACTGGCCAACTAATGTGATTTTCATGCAGTTATATCTCATAGGTGAACCAACTTATGTGTAGATATTAATTATTTCTGAACCTTATACAACCTTTACAACACTTTCCAACTTTCCGACTTTGGTTTGGCCGTGTGACACTTTCGCATAAAAATTGCTAAAACAGGAAAATAAAAAGCTTTATGTGAAAATCTGTACCTGTTTACGACTATCTATGTGTGTACGTAAATATATGAGCATACATATGTATGTGTTTGCATGCATGAACATTAAGTTGATGCGCTTATATGTATGCTGGCAATGTTGCGCTGTGTATTGCAGCGAATTAATTATCACAGTTTGACATGCGACACTCGCAAGTCAGTTGTGTGGTATTTTGTGCAAGCTCGCCTTATTTAGTAGAGGCCCACCGCACCGTAAATACATGCGAATGTATGTAGTATGAAATGCAAGATTCACCAACTAACCGATTAGCCAAGCTGATGAGTGACTGAGTAGTGCGCCAACTTTTTTTTTAAATTACTATTCAACCACTAGTCTACGCTCTGATGTAACAAGTTTAACTGATTAAATTCGTTTTTAATTACTATGGTTTAAGACAGTTAGCACTTTGACTTTTTCGCCTTGTTCGTAGTAAATAAAATGGTTTTTAATGCGCAAGCATGCAGAAGTTTTGAAAGAAAACTTGCGAAAGTTTTTTGTGAGAGTAAGCCTGCCGTTATCGATTTCTTTAAGTAAGAAGGACAAAGGAATAAGTATTTGAAGTGCTTCAAGAAAGGGAGTGGAACTGCTATAACCACAGCGTTTTTAATTGGCATATGCTGACACAAAAGAGAAATGACTGGCGTGCGTTATTGAAACAAGAAGAAGAAATACATATATGCTCGGTAGTAAAATATTTTTGATATCAATGTTCGTTGATTTCTCCTTAACAACTTTTCAAAATTTCAAGCAAAAGCATAGCATTTTATATTTTTTTATTTACATATTGAGCCCTAACCGCCAAAACAACGTAAGCGTCATTTTTCTTTTAATTTTTTTTTTTTTGATGCAGAAATGCTTCTAGATCATCTGATGCATATCTGCTTCAAAAATAAAATTTTGAAAAAAATTGCGCTTATGTCTTTTTGGTGGTTAGGCTCGATATGTACAAATAGTGGGTCATATAAAAAGTCGCTGCGGATTTTAGTCACTATGTAGTTATACTGCCCATACATCTGGCAACATTCATGCAATGGCGCCAAACCGACGTGCGTTTGAAAGTGACATTCCAGACATATTTTAATAACAGGTTAAATTTTGAAAGACTTTTTAAAATCCATTTATCAATTTTAGTCAAATGAAATACATTTTTTCAAATAATTTTACATAAAACCTACCACTTAAAACTTTTCAATTAAATTCGTACTTTTATTTTTGTAAATAATATAAATTAAATAATAAAAATGATAGCCTTAGTTGATAGTTAGGCAACCCTACTCAAAAACTTGTTAGTGTTGAAGCTTGTTCAAACACGTTCCGTTTGATACCCGCATTGTGATATTAAATGAGTATAAAATTTTTAATAAAAGCAACTGCAGCTTTTCAAAAAGGTGGCAACCCCACTCCAAAATTGTTGTTTCTCTTCAAACGGTTTTTGTTTTACTATAGAAATTGAAGTATGCTGTGGAGCCTTTGAATGATTATAAATTTTCATATATGCATCTGGCAACCCTGTTTTAAATTTTTTTATCCAGAAACTTTCTACAGGCAATACCAAGTAGAATGGAAGAAAATAGAACAAATCCGTTGAGTTGTTAATACGATGAAAGCTTTTAAAGCTTAAAAAAATCCAAAATACGTGTCTTCTCGGATTTTTTATAACTTTTTAACCCTGGTACTTTTCGATATACCACTGATTTTGATACCTTAGATAATAAACTATTTCATAAAAACACGTTTTCTGATTTGTTTTTCACGTTTAAATAGCCAGGCACCAATTTTGGTTACTTTTTCTCTCTTCTGTCCCACTGTACAAGGTGGCGAAACGATGAATTCGATGCTCTACAGAGCACAACTCGACCGTTTGAGAGCGAAGTCATCAAGAAAGAGTGGTCAGAATTTACCAACAGAAAGGGAGTTGTGTTCCATCAAGGAAACTGAATTTCATTTAAAAAAAATCGGTTTTGAACGGTACAGTTTTTTTTTGTTGAAAATACAGTTTTTTGGTGACATTTACAATTTCTGAAAAACAAAATCTGGCAACACTGCAGTTAATAATGTCCAATATGTACGAGATTAAGTTTGATTTTCAATAAGGATTTTTTTTTCAAAAAAGTACGCAAAAAAATCACAGAGACTTTTCATATGACCCAATATTTTGTCGTTTATTTTGCTTACACCAATCGTTATTATGGTAATGTGTATTTCAAAAACTAAAATGTAATTTACGCTGCACTTAAGCTGTGCAATAAAATTATCAACCCGTATTAGCATTGACACATTTTAAGCTTTAATTGCACCGGTTCTTTGGCAGTGATAAGTTTAGTTTACTGATGTATGAATATTAAAATTTAACAAAATTTTTTAATTTGCAAAATTTTTGAAATGTATTTCAGCTTACCTTGAATAGTACAACTGAACAAATATTTGGCTGACAGCAAAAAAACCATAAGAAATTTTCAGAGCTGCAATTACTGTAAGCATTGCATATAAATAAAAATAAATATGTAAATGTGTGTATACATGTACAGGGGTACCAATGTATATGTATGTATGTATGTATGTGAATGCATGCATGCGAACCGACCGTCATAGATCAGAAATTAGCTAATTTTAATATTAGTTTGAGCATGTGCGACAATTTAAGTGCACGCATTTTTTTTTTACCGTCAAAACAAAGCCACTGCATACCAGCAACCAACCGGCAGTGTGATGGCGACGCTGCTGGCTAGACCAGACTGTTGTTGCTGCTTCTGGGTCAAGATCGTTCATTGCATCAGTAACCAGAAAAAAAAATAGTTAGTGGCCACAGCATGAGGTAGCAACAGTAGCCACAGTAGCTACAACAACAAAATGCAGCTAAGCGAGCGCTTTAAACAACAAATTTGAATTGTTAATTTTGAAATTTCAATATTACTTGAGCGTTGGAACGGCCTTTAGAGCGTAAAATTGCAATAATCATATGCATAGGCTTGGTATGTGTATGTGTTTATATGAGCATAAGATTATGCCTATGTATGATACATACATACATATGTACATACATACATAAGTGCATATGTATAAATGTATGTATGTAAGTCAACTAGAATATGAATCGAGTCTTAATTGCTGTTGTTCTTTATTGAAGTCAATTTGCCTTGGGTTGACATGAACCTGCTGCAGCGCGATAGCGCCAAAAACAGCTGCAATAAAACTCAGTTTGTTTTGCAAATTTTTTTTGATTTCGTAAACCTTTATTAGTAAGCGCACTCAAGCGACCGATGAATATTCTAACGTTTCTTCATCTTTTAACCTTTAACTGTGCACAAGGGGTCTCACGCAACTTGTGATCTCATGTCATGTCAAAGAGGAATGAAAGCGCTATGTGTATTTACTTTGATAATATTCCTTGACCTATCTAGCACCTTTTATATTTAGTCTTTGTTTATAAAATTTACTTATAATTGCTGTAAATTTTTCTCGCAGACTTAAAGAGTCTGTGCGACCCAATGTTTAGGCTAGTGTTACGAAAAAAAAATATCCATACAAAAAGGTTAAGGTTTAACGACACCGAAAGAAAAAGAGTTAGGAGGTATGTACGTCTTTTCAAGAGGAAGAAATTAGAGGTAGTAGGACATGACTGCGAAGCACTTGAAACGATGGAAGGCTGGGATGCGTTCAGCAGTCAAACGGTTACAATACCCTGCATATTCGAAGATCAAAATCTAGTAACAGAAGTCCAGAGCGCACTCAAGATATGGACGACGATTTTAAATGGTGACAGAGGTGGCGCGTTAGACGAGGTAAAACCTTTACCAAAAATTCTACAAAGGGGATGAAGATCCTTGACAGAAATTATTTTTGATACATACATCTTGCGATTTGACCACATTGGATTTCTTCCTCTGGGGCTGCGTGAAAAATATGGTATCTGCCAATAAGCCCGAGACCGTCCCACAGCTGAAGAACCGTACCATACGCGTTATAAATGATATACAGCCCAAGTTATGCCAAAAAGTTATGGAAAATTTTGATATGCGCCGGCTGTGTTGCCAGAGTAGTCATGGTGTGCATTTCACGGATTTTAGTTTTCACACTTACATAAATGCTATAGACTTAAAAAATATGATGAAATTAAAGAAATCATTTCGACAAATTTTGTTGAGTTTTATTTATAAAATAAATTCTGTGGTCTCATTGAATCACCCTTTACATGTAACGACGAAACTCACAACAAAGCCTCCGCAGCTTTTTCTAAGTACCGCGCGGTAAGCCTCCTGGGAACCCTAAAAAACTAATATAGCTTCGAATAGTGACGTTGATCACAACTTTTAGCTCCATTCAAATTGAGAGAGACCTCTCCACGACGCTCGAGAGCAAACCAGGTCTTCCGAAGAGTGATTCACTGTATGTGACCTTTTTACTGGGTAATTGCAAACATGTTTTCGCGAACCCCTCTAATGTTAATTCCCACATACATATGTACACACATATACCTAAACTTTGTAGGCAAACCGATTCAACTAAATTATCAAATTTGATCAGATTTGTACTTCTACGAATACTGTACCTACTTGTTTCTTAATGTAAGTACCACGCCCAGAAATATTTCTTCCAAGATAATCACACAAATGCACAATACATGTATGTATATTAGGATGCCCCACCAAAAATAGATTGCGGGGTTTTCACCAGAATTGTGAAATCTATTATATTTTAAGACTTCCGCCAAAATATTTGGTTGAAATATTAAGACTTACGTGAGCTGGACCAATTTGAAAATAGTATCAAAAATCTTATTTTTCTAGTTCAGTGGATAAAATTTTTTTTAATTTGTATGCAGACCTTTTAACTTAAAATTTTAAAAGTTGAATTCTTCAGCTGAGGTAATTTTTTTGAAAAAATATTTTTAAAAACTAATTTTATTTACATGAAATTTGCTTTTTGATTTAATATTAATATTTTTCCAAAACATTTTATTCAAAATATACCAAAATTTATAATTCCTATGTAAGAACAGTACCCATTTTTGTTGAATGGAAAGTGATGCGCCCTAGTGTATCTACATACATACACATTTATATATGTATGTATATGCATGATGAAAATCAAATGAAAAATCAACGAGGAATTTCCTTCAATGGCTTAGTTCAAATTCTTTTGCAATAGATTTTGATTTAAAATTCTTGGAAGTAGCTCAAAACGATAAGAAACACTTTCAATTGTTGCTCAACTTTCTAAGAACTGCACCTTAAATATTCTTATCTGTCATGCCGCCAAAAACGTAATACTAAGACCAATACTATATAGGATGAATGAATAGATGAGTTCATGTACCTTGATATATTTATTGGCTGTTGTCACATAAATTGCTTTAATTGAGCGCAACGAATTTGGGCATAAAAAAGATGGCAGTCAGCAATCAATAGGACACACGAATACATTTATATTTTTTTCATACAAAGGAAAACAATGATAAAACAAGCAAAATTTTTAAAGACCGCGCTGTTTGTGTGATACATACATACGCATGTACATAAGGGGATGCCTGTATCGAATAAGTGAAACCTCAAAAGTTTGCCTTCCATGCCACTGCACGGGAAATAGTTGTATTAAGTTCCATATAGTATTTGCTCATATTCTGTCACATTTTTCGATCCGGCAGCAAAAACAAAGGAAAACTATTAAAAACCAGTAAGGAAAATGTGGTCTCGGCTATGCCGAAGACTTTTTACCATTCATAAATGTAGGGAAAATTACGTTTTTCCAATTTGTTATTATGATTTGGGAGAAATGTACATATCAGGGACATAACAGTTATAAGTTTTATCGGAAAAACGTTATTAGATTAGAAATATTTTATTTTTTATTTCGCCGATAAGAGTTATAACCCAACGTTTACTTTTTACCGTTGGCTGATAACTGTTATGCAGGAGAAATATGTTTTCCGTCGCCAATAAGAGTTATTTCCCAACTTCTATTTTTTACGTTGCTTGATAACAGTTATAACCCAAGTTTATTTTTACGTTGTCTGATAACAGTTATTTCAATCCTTCACTTTTATTTTCATCATCTTTGTCTTCTTCTCCATTTCCATTTTCGACATTATTCTTATCTTAGAACGTCTACTAGACAACTTAAAAAATAAACGTTGGACAATAACTGTTATCAAGCAGCGTAAAATATAAACGTTTGGCAATAACTATTATCAAGCAACTAAAAAATAAACCTTGTATTATAACTCTTATTGGAGAAATAAAAAATATGTTTCACCTAATAACTTTTATAAAACAATGCTTTCATTAAATTTCAGACAATGTTTTCAATTTGTAAATTCGAGATAACAGTTATTTTTGATCCCTGGTACATATGCGTATATGAATATATTATAAGGGATCTTACAAAATTTCAGGTGCATAACTACTTCAATTGATTTCAAGTCTGAACAATCAGTTGCACGGGAGATAAATGATATAAATCACCGATCTTCATGGTTTTCTCGAACCCCCTTTTATCGTTAACAAGCAAATATCTTACCAAATTCAAGGTTTTATCTATGTATCTAAATTAAGGAGTTTAAAAGCGAAACCTCATATCTGAACAATCAGTTCAATGGGAGCTATAGGTCATAGCAGACCGATCGTTGAGATTTTCTCAGCAGATTAGTAAATAACTTTAAACATTTCATAATCTTCGCTGTTTAAATGAATGAGTTATAGCACCAAAGCTCATATCTGAACAATCAGTTTTATAGGAGATATACCTTATAGAACACCGATCTCGACAATTTTTTCAGAAGAGACTCCCTGTCTTGATGACAAGTGAAAGGAGTGCAAAATTTCATATTCTCAGCTGCCTAAGTGAAGAAGTTATAACACAAATACTCATTTCTGAAGAAGAATCACTCCAATTTTGCTTGTTCCGATAGACGATTAATAAATTACAAAAATAAGCCTGTGTTCTAAATTTCGAGCGAACATCTAGAATACTGAGAGGGTAGTTTGTGTTAAAATAGACAGCCAGACAGAGGGACATGACTACTCAGCTCGTCATTCGATATACTTTTTTATGAGTCTATCGCATTTTGTTCTGTTACTTACAAACAACGGAACAAAGTTATAACACCATTTCATGTTAATAAAAGGTATAAAAACAAATCATTAATATACGCAAATCATTCTGCCACATACGTTTGTAGGTATGTATGTATGTACACTAGAGTGGTCCAAGTATTCATGTGAAAAATTAACGTCGAAATTTTATAGCTCTCACCCCTTAGAATTATTCTATACCAAAAAAAATTATACACCTGTTTTTTTTTGTGAAATGAAAAAATATTTAAAGGTCGCTCAAAGCACTCAAACTTTTCCTTGTATTTTTTACGGGGAAAAAAGTTTTCGTAGAAATGGTATAAAATCCTTGAAAGCAATATTTTTTGGT